TCGTCCCGTCGGGATGTTGCCGGGAAAATCACGGCCGTAAGGATCGAAATTGCTCTTGGCGAGTGTGGGGATGTAGTTGTTGTTGCCGGTATCAACGAATGAATCTCCGAAGGCGATAACAGCCGACACTTTAGCTTCGGAATCAGAAGCGAAAGCTAAGATTTGAACGAAGAAAATACAGGGGATGACCATGGATGCCATGCCTGCTGTGTCGATGATCACTGCATGCATGGAGCAAGGTTTTTATAGCCCTTTGAAACATGGAAACATATAGATCGAGTGAAGATAAAGCAAAAACATTAATATATAGAATATGTATATGTGTATTAAGGCATTAAATATGCACATGAAATCTTTATAACTTTCACGTAAGTAATCTAAACGAATATAGTTCCAAAAACATTACATGCATATATGTACCGAACAAAAAACTTGGGGTTATTTTTAAATTATATAAGAGTATTATACTAATAACTATGTCTACGTTTAATGTTATCATGATAAAATAATTATCATTTTAATACTTATTTTTGTTTACGAAATTCGTATTTTATATATATATATATATATATATATATATATATATATATATTTAAAATTGAATTGATGTGTATTGTCAAGTTAATATACACATACGCATGTAATATATTAAATTTCTTCTTTCTTAATTTAGGATGATTATTATATGCCCTAAATATTTTATATTATTTGACAATGAAACACCTTTACTATATCTCTGGTGTTCGAACCTAAATATTTAAATATAACAATCATTCATTTAGCCAGTGAGGTAATTTGATTTGTGTACTTTTATATTAGTATTGATAATGATATTGGTTGTATTTATCATTTGTTCGAGTTATATGATTAATTTTTAATCATTTCTGAATATGATCATTTTTTCATTATTAGGTGATTAGTTTGTGTACTTCAATATTTTCTAAAAATATTTTATTTATATGTGATTAATTTACTCTTGTTTTTATAGCCTTTTCTTGTAGTTTTGAAATACTATCTCTATTTAATAAAACTAATCAATTTTAAGAAAATCATTATTTAGAAGTTGAATACTTGATTAGTTAATTTACTACTTCATCTATAATTATTCATTGAATAATATCCTTTTTATAATATAAAAAATTATATATATATATATATATATATATATATATTTTAATTTGATACATAAATGATACATATTTTTTTCCATTCACAAAAGATTTCTACCATATAAATTAAAGGGTAAATTACATTGTTTCTCACTGAATTTTACTCTTTCTCCTATTTTGTACACTCTACAGTTAACTCTCTAATTGTGTGATGATGTGTTATTTTTTATTATTATTTAATATAAAATAATTGAAAATATAAAAGGTAAATTACACTGTTTCTCACTGAACTTTACTCTCTTTCTATTTTGCTCAGCCAACTATAAAATAAAAACAAAATGTGGTTGGATGTCACCACCGTCCACTGTCGACTACCGTAATTAGTGGCCTTTCAGTCCCAAATTTTATGGGTCGCTTTGTCTCGACATCATGAGTTCGGATCTAACCTTCATTTTTGTCGGAACCTGATTCGAAGTCCATGAATCAGAGATTAAAAGTGAGGAAGCCGAAAAGTTTCAGTAGAGATTTACAGATTTTGGGATATTTTCAAACGAAACAACCACCAGATTTAGACTCAAGGGGTCAAGACAAAACCGAACCATGAATTTTAGGACCAAAATGCCACCATTAACGACGGTCGACGGTGGTCGGAATGAAAAATGATGTGGTGGTCGGAGGCTACAATGGGAGGAAAGAAGAGGATTCGAAACGACTTCGTTTTGACGCATATTTGAGTTTTTCAAAACGACGTCGTTTTGATGCTTGTGTTATGTCATAACACCATTAAAAATTAACAACAGAGTGAGCAAAATGATTCAATATATAAAGTTCAATGAATAAAATAAAAAAAATTGAAAGTACGGTGAGCAAAATAAGAGAGAGTAACGGTGTAACTTATCTAAATTAAAATCGCTTGTGTCACATGCAATAGGTTTTATACATAAAAAAAAAAAAGGTAACTAGTGTAATATTGCCAGTTGGACTGCCAAAATGCTGAAAATAAAGGAAGCGTACGAATTAGTTGGAAATGAATGGGAAGTCATGAAAGAGTGGGACTGGGAGCTGTAGGATATAAATGAAGATTGAGGGTTGGGTGTTGAGAGACGGGACAACAGGCTTTGGCTTATAATATCGGCAAAGCTTCCACAATATGATTCACTCATTAATGGGATGCATTTTGTGGATTGCTCAGCACAGCGTAGGGTTCTTTCTCACCCACCACATGCCATCTTAGTTTATAGATGAATATACTACTCCTGTTATATTTCTTTTTTTAATTATACCAAGTTCATATTGAAACTTTGCATAATATGTAACTATGGTCTAAGGGATTGATTTATTAGACCACTATATGACATTCAACCAATTATGATCAAATAGTTTTAAGAGGTCTTTTCATATAAGGGAAATTACATCCTTTCTAATTGAATTTTACTTTTTCTCTTTCTTATCTCATTTAGTGTACTTTTAATTTTTTTAATTGAATTTTCGAATTGTTTATGTCTTGATCACTTTAGATTATTTAATTATTGTTTTGGTATGACGTGATATTTTATTAAAATATAATAATAATAATATTTTATTATTATTAAATTTAAAAAGATTTAAAATAATCACCCACCGTAGATCACCGTCGACCAAAGTTCGCCTTTGAAACCGGCAACCATTCGGTCCTAAACTTCATGAGTTACTTCACCTCGAACCCCTGAGTTCGAGACTTGTGGTTGTTTCACCAAAAAATATCCCAAAACCCGTGAATCTCGATTGAAACATTTCGACTTCCTTCTTTTTGATCTTCTATTCGTGAACTTTGTAGCATGTTTCAATAAAAATGGAGCTCGGATTCAGACTCAGGTGGTCGAGGCGAAGCGACCCATGGAATCTAGGACCGAGCGGTCGCCATCTATAATGGTCGACGATGGTTGGCAATTTCGATTGTCTCATTTTTTATTGAATTCGAGCATGTTCTAACAAAATGAAGGTCGGTTCGAACTCAGGAGGTTGAGACAAAGCAACCGATGAAATTTAAGATTGAACGACAACCATCTACAACTGTCGACGGTGGCGTCCAACGCGTGATGAACAAGAATGACCACCATATGCTTTTTATTTTATATTTTAAATTATTTTTATATGAAATAATAACAAAAGTAACTTGAAAATTTAATGAATAAATTAAAAAAATTAAATGAAATATAAGAGAATATAAAGTTGAATAAATAACTGTATGTTTTACACATCTATATAGCCCTATAGCGTGGTAATTTTAAGAGGTATATTTATATAACTCTATATTTATATAACTCTAGAGTTTGTAGAGAGTTGGTGGGGCAAGAGTCCCTTTCAAAATATTTGATTTAATACTCTTTCTATCACTTAAATTATTTTTTTAGTCAAATATTTTTAACTTTGATACATTATCATTTAAAATTTATTATTGATAAAAATATGAAAAATATATTTTAGAATCTTTTAATCAAGTAGTTTTAAAATATATATTTAATAAAATTTATTTTTTTAAAATATTTAAAATAATCATTGTCAAAGTTTAAAAATTTTAATTTTAGAAAATTAATAAAAGACATTTTTAATGGGACGGAGGTAGTAGTATTTTAGGTCTTTATCAATCTAAATTTAAGTAAAATTAGACTTTTACACTCTCTAATTTTTTTAGATTAAATACATAATAAAACCTTATCATTTTAAACTTAAATATTTTATTAATCTCAATATTTGATCATGATTCCATCCTTGTCTATATCTCTTAAGAGGAGTATTTGCATATCTCTAGAATCCGCTTAATAAATGTTATAATTTAAATAATTCAAAATATATATTTAAATTTAATTTTAAATATTTATATTTTAATAAAAAAATAAATTATTGAATTTAATTTAATTTGATTGATATTGTCATTATATAATATACACGAAATGGTGAAATTGAGCACGATTGAACACTTAATATCCTTTGACATAAAACCCTAATATAAAACTAATATATTCAGATAAAAAAACTTTTATTATTCCACCTATGATTATTTCTTAATTTATTTTTTTAAAAATAATCCAGACTTTTAATTTTAGTCAAATTATTTGTATAATATAACTGCTCATTTTTGTACTGAATTTTATTTTAATAAAGTAAATATATTTTGTTTCATTGTTTATTCATTATTCTATATTGTATTTCAATGATTGTTTATAAATTTGGCTAAATAATATTCTTAAAATATTATATTAATATTTATCTGAAGTTTTTTTTTTTGTTTTTTTTAAATTTCTTTTATAATTATTCATATTTAATTTATTTATCGATTAATTTAAATATAAAAATTATATATGTTCAATATGAAGACTTATCTTTCAATTTAATTTACAACAAGATTAAAATATTTAGTTTTATTTAAGAGACATAACGTCTCATCTATCAATCATTTGACAATGAAAGCTCAAATATCTCGTAATAGTTGGTATTCAAACCCGTAATATATAGGGATAATAATTATCATTTTAACCACTAAAATAGTTTGGTCAATGCAAAATATTTTTATTTTAACTTTTATCAATATATTGAATTTTTTGTTAATAAATTGCAATTATTATTAAATTATAATAATAAAAATGGGCTTCTATCTAAAAGAAGTGAGAGTTTGGGTCGATCTGAAAAACAGAGCCCAATTAAACCCCCAACAAATTACAAAAGAAAGAGATTTAGGGTTTATTTATTTAATCAGAAGCAAAGGGGAAAATAGAAAACCAGGAAAAGAAAGCAGTGAGCGGCAGCTTCTCTTCATCTGTATCTGAAAATGGTTGATTTTAGGGTAAGTTGAAAAATTCTATTTTTTTTCTTTATGGGTTTTTTTTTTGGCTAACATGATGATGAGATTTTGGGTTTTCCTTTTTGTTTTGTTTGAAAAAAAGGTTTCATCAGTATCAAGTGGTGGGCAGAGGTCTCCCAACAGAAGCAGATGAGCATCCCAAGATTTACCGTATGAAGCTTTGGGCCACCAACGAAGTCCGTGCCAAATCCAAATTTTGGTTAGTGAATTGCATTTTTCTTATTATTCTCGATTCCCGTTTATTTTGATTTTGTTTACGGGAGATTGGGTATCTTAGTTTTCCTTTGCATGATATTTTTGTTTTCGTGTTTAGGTATTTCCTGAGGAAGCTGAAGAAGGTGAAGAAAATTAATGGGCAGGTTTTGGCCATCAATGAGGTATTCACCATTGTTCTTCAGTTTTGAACCCTCATTAATGTATAGCATAAGCAAACCTTATTGCATTGCAGTTCATCAGAGAGGATAGCTTATTTTACCTTATGTAGCTTCGTTCATCTACTATTCATTCTATTTAGTTGAGTCAACAAGTGATCGAAGATTACAATTATTCGTTTATGCTTGACTATATATATATATATATATATATATATATATATATATATATATATATATTTTTGAAGTGCTTGACTTATATTTGTATGTTCATAATAGGGAGATTCTGAGCTAGGAATGACTTGTGGTTGGCTGTTTCTCCATTTCCATGTTGATGGAGATAAGCTTTTTTTAAGATGCTTGATTTAATTTGTGTGCTTTATCTGGTGTTGTGTGTTTGATAAGGAAAACGGTTATTCATGTAATAAAATATTCATCATTCTAAATGATTAGCCTCAAATCTAAATTTGGTTGGTTTTTGGTTATTCATGTCAACCTGAATATTCCGTGCTTTGATGGGTCAGAATAAACTTCCTGTGCTCTAAAAGGTAGGACTTCTGTTTCGATTCTGAGGAAATCAGGCATTTCTAAACTCTTTTATATTTGATTTCTGACTTTCCTGATTCAGGAAAGTTGAGTTGTGGAGACAACATGCTTCTGTATTTATCCATTTAAACAATAGAATATTTGGAAGAAAATGATGATTTATACCTTAAATTATCATCAGACCTTGTTGCAATACATTTGTTATTTGGTGGTGGGCTTTCTCACGTGTTTGTTTTTACATAAAATGATGCATTGTATCTACATCAACTTGTATTTACATACTATACATGTTTGTGATTGCAGATTTTGAGAAAAACCCTACGAAGATTAAGAACCATGGTATTTGGCTGCGATATCAAAGTAGAACTGGTTATCACAATATGTACAAGGAGTACCGAGACACAACTCTCAATGGTGCCGTAGAACAGATGTACACTGAGATGGCTTCTCGTCATAGAGTGAGGTTTCCTTGTATTCAAATCATCAAGATAGCTACTATCCCAGCGAAACTTTGCAAGAGGGACAACACCAAGCAGTTCCACAACTCCAAGATCAAATTCCCACTGGTAGTGAAGAAGGTCAGGCCACCAACTAGGAACCTTAAGACGACTTACAAGGCTACTAGACCCAACTTGTTCATGTAGTTGTCTTCCTGATTGGCGGTGGTAGGCCTAAAGCATTTTAGTTTTGGTTACTTCACTTATTAGATTGAGAGGTGTAATCAAAACTTGAACACCTTTTGATGAGTTAAATATAAATTTGGTGATAATGGTGAATTACAATTTATAATATTTGCAATGGCTAGTGAGTATGAATGCGGAACTTGCATTTTATGTTTGTTTTTTTTTTGAAATATTTGTGTTTGACCCTTATCCAAATATGGGTATAAGGTATAAGATATGATCCTTAAATTGTAAATCTATTAAAAATGAATATATTTATTTTGGGTATGATTAATTTTTTATTAGCCATTCTCAACCATTAATGAATGTTTGAATACCTTTATGGATATTGTGTTTGAATCTAGGGCTTCTAAGGATAACAATAATTTTTTTAATTGTTTGATATGATTAATCAAGATATTTAAAGATAACAATCGTTCTTTTAATTGATTTTTATGATTACTTGATATCACTTGATTCGTTGTCATGACCCATGAGGCGAAATTAGGGGCTAATGAAGAGAAAATGGGAAACACAGGGGAATTAGGGATTGCAATTGGGGAATTAGATGAGGAACAGATGGATCGGGTAAAGATATTACCTGATGGACCAGGAACTCGGGCGTGGGCTGATGGAGCAAAGGAGGGAATGCTTATTGGACTACGGAAGAAGATGAGCCCAACAACCTGTACCAAACATAAGTAGACATAAATGATTAATGGAATCTATTCTGTTGTAAAAGAAGGCACAGCTGACAATCTGCTATATCTATTTCCTATAAAATTTAGTTGTAATCAACATCAAAATCGTGAATGAGAATATTATGAATTATGTTTTCTTTAATATATTTCCTCTATTTCTTAATCCTTTCTTATTTTCTTGAGCAATTCATCACAATTGGTATTCAGAGCACGGTTTTTTGATCCAAAAGTTCAGAATTTTTTTTCCAAACCGGGTAAACCACGGAAAACACAGCAAATGACTCACAATGATCAGCCGCTGGTCATTCCTGCTGATCCAGCAGAGTCCTCTGAGGTAGAAGCAATTCCCACTTGGTGGCTTAATCAACAAAGTGCTTTGGAGCAAAGGATGCAAGCTTTGGAGACAACAACAAGTGAAATGAAAAATATGATCCAACAACTTTTGGGATTGATGCAGAAAGCTGGGACTAAATCGGGACATTCTTCTCCTGCAGAAAGACAACCATTGCCCACAGCTCAGACTAAGGAACCAAGTAAACTGCCTTTACAAGTCACAGTTATTGATGATCGTGAAAAGTATTCATTTAAACCGGGACAACCTGGAATTCTAGCATTTAAACCTAGTTTACCACATGATGTTAATCAACAAGTTCATGATATTCTAAAAATGAAAGTGGTAGCCAATACAACTGAATCGGGGGAGCAATCGATCATTAAAAGCCATTCAATTCTGGAAAAATATTCCAACAACAACAATATTGGTATGTTTCTTCCAAAACCAAAAATAGAGTTCCAATTCTTTGATGACAGTAATCCTAGGAGTTAGATAAGAATATGTGAGAAGTATTTTTTTTTCTATTTTTGTTGTTCCTGAGTTTCAGAAGTTATAGCTGCTATGTACTTCACTGGTAAGGCTGAAGTTTGGTTTGATGGGTATATCATGAAAAAAAGTCGAGTTACTTGGCAAGAATTTGTCTCTGATTTGTGTCATCGATTTTCTGATAAATGATATATTGATGTTATTGATGAGTTTAATAAATTGACTCAACTATGAGTTTAATAAATTGACTCAACTATCTTCTGTGGATGAGTATGAAGCTCAGTTTGAGGAACTTCAACCTTATCTTCTTCATATTAATCCTGAATTAGGAGAAGAGTATTTTTTTTCCAGTTTTTTGAGTGGTCTTAAAGAGGAATTGAAACATAAAGTTAAGGTTTTGGAACCAAAGAGTGTAGCTGAAGCTGCTAGAAAAGAAAAGCTTTATGAGCTGTCCTTGGAAGTGAAAATCAAAAGATTTAGAAGTATTCCAAGACCAATGCTGCCAGGAAATGGTATTAGTTCCAGAACATCTAATTCTTCAATGAGTTCACCTTTGAAAAATAATCCAGGGTTCACTCAAAACAGACAACAATTACTAGAATTTAGAAGGGCAAATAATTTATGCTATAAATGTGGTGATAAGTTTACTCCAGGCCATCACTGCAAATTAAAACAATTGAATTCTATGGAAGAAGTGGAAGAGCATGAGGAACCTGAAGAATTACAAGCATCTCAAACTATTTATGATAAAGCACCATATGAGGAAAATGATCCGGAGATTTCTATGAATGCAATTTCTGGCAATTCAGGAAGTAACACTTTTAGGATCCAAGGATTCATAAAAGGGAAACCACTCAGTATCTTAATTGATAGTGGCAACACCCACAATTTTGTCACTAACAGGTGGGCTAAAGAAGGGTTGGAATTGGAAGAAACTAATCCCTTAGTCATCACAGTGGATAATGGTGATAAACTTTACAGCACAACAAAAAGTAAATAACTAAGATGAGAAATGCAATATTTTACTTTTGCACATGATTTTAGGGTTTTATCCATTGGAGGCAGTGATATGGTGCTAGGAGTTGACTGGATGAAGAACTACAGTCCAGTCTTAATGGATTTTAACAACATAACTCTTAGTTTTACAATGAGTGACTAAGAGATTGTGTTGAAAGGAGGGCTGCACACTACTGTAATGAAGATAATTTCATGCAACAAGATGCAAAAACTGATGATTAAAAATCCTGTAGTGGGGGAGATCTATATGTTAAATGCAAAGGTTGGTGATAATGAAATACCTCCTACAATTCAAGCAGTAATTGTTGACTATAAAGATGTTTTTGAAGAACCTACTATAATGCCTCCAATAAGGAAGCATGATCATTCTATTACTCTTAAATCAGGAATTGAGGTAATCAATGTCAGACCCTACAGGATGCCTTATCATCAGAAAACAGAGGTTGAAAAACAAGTGGTTGAAATGTTAGCGACATCAATTATTCAAACCAACAAAAGCCCTTTTGCTTTACCTTGTTTATTAGTTAAAAAGAAAGATGAAAGCTGGAGAATGTGCATTGATTATAGGCAGTTAAATGCATTAATTGTTAAGAACAAATTTCCCATTCTTGTGGTGGATGATCTCTTGGATGAGCTAGCTGGTGCCAATTTTTTTTCTAAACTAGATTTGAGATTTGGTTACTGGAAGATCAGAATTAAACCTGAAGACATTCCAAAAACAACCTTTAGGACACACCATGGTCATTTTGAATTTAAGGTAATGCCCTTTGGCTTAACTAATGCACCAGCTACTTTTCAAGCTCTTATGAATGATTTATTTGGAGTATATCTCAGGAAATTTATCCTAGTATTCTTTGATGATATTTTAATCTACAGTCCTGATTTGCATAGTCATGAGCAACAATTGAGAATTGTGTTGGAGATTCTAAGGAAAAATAAACTTTTTGCTAAGAGAAATAAATGTTTCTTTGGCTAATCAGAAGTAAAGTATCTTGGTCCTACTATTTCTCCACAGGGAGTATCTACAGATTCCTAAAAAATTCAAGCAATTCAGGAATGGTTTATTCCAAAGAATTTGAAATCCTTAAGAGGGTTTTTGGGCCTTATTGGCTATTACAAAAAATTTATTAAGGGTTATGGGGAAATCAGTAAACCCTTCACTACAATGTTGAAAAATGATCAATTTTTTGGACTGAGGAGACTAGGAAGGCATTTATCACACTTAAAGAGACTATGTGTAGAGCTCATGTGCTAGCTCAGTAAGGCTTTGGGACCAAAGCTGATTGATTTATCTATTTATGAGAAAGTGTATCTAGCAATATTAATGGTTGTTTATAAATGGAGGCATTATCTTGAAGGAAGTCCATTTATTATTAAAACAGATCATGAATCTTTGAAGTATTTGCTAGAACAGAAGCTCACTACTGCAATTCAAAATAAAGGATTAACAAAGTTACTAGGACTGAACTACTCCATTCAATTTCGTAAAGGAAAACATAACAGGGTTGCTGATGCTTTATCAAGACAGTTTGAAGACTATTCTAACTTAAATCATTTATCTACTACAATAGTTATTCCTGTTTGGGCACAAGAGGTGGAAAACAGTTATGAACATGATTCTTTGGCAAAAGATTTAATTCCTAAGTTGCTACTTTATAATAATGCTATAGCAGATTGGTCTTATGCTAAAGGTGTTCTAAGATACAAATGTAGAGTTTATATTGGTGAGACATGTGGCTTTAGAACACAAATCCTTTCTACACTCCATGATTCACCACAGGGTGGTCATTATGGGATACAAAATACTTATCATAGAATAAAATATTACTTTTATTGGAAGGGAATGAAGGCATTGGTTAAACAGTATGTGCAATAGTATGATGTTTGTTAGAGAATCAAACATGAAAATGTTCTACAGCCTGGGCTACTACAGCCTTTATACAATAAGCTTTGGAATTTATTACCATGGACTTTATTGAGGAGTTGATTACTTCTAATAGATATAATTCTATTTTGGCGATAATTGACAAATTCACCAAATATGGGCATTTTTTACCTCTGGTTCATCCTTTTACAGCTACTGAAGTTGCTAAAATCTACTTGGATCAAGTCTACAAACTTCATGGTCAACCTAAGGTTGCTCTGTCTGATCGAGATAAAAAATTTTACTAGTGCTTTTTGGAAGGAGTTATTGAAGTTATTGGGCACTACAACTCTATTTACCATTGCCTATCACCCTCAAACATATGGTCAAACCGAGAGGCTTAACCAATATCTTGAACAATATTTACGAGGACTTTGTTTTTTAAACCAAGTTCCTGGGCTAAGTGGTTATCTCACGCAGAATTGTGGTACAACACTAGTTTTCATACAACGTTAGGAACTACTCCTTTTCATGCCTTATATGGTTACACACATCCAACAATGACTTGGACAAATGAATCAAGGGTGGCTGATGTACAATAGTTTATGTAGGAAAATGACAATATTAACAGTATCCTACTTGACCAACTCACTAAAGCACAACATCGTATGAAGTATAATGCATATCAAAATTGCAGTGATAGAGAATTCATGGAAGGGGAAGAAGT